TGGAGAGGGTGAAAAAGGATGGTTTGGGTGATATCTCCCCTTGGCAAGTGTACAGAGCAAAGGAGAAAGCACTTGAAAAAATTCGAGGTAGTGTGATTGAGCATTACAGAGTACTATGGGATTATTGCGAGGAGTTGAAGAGAACAAACGTTGGAACAACTGCTTTAGTTGAGGGATATGCCGGTGAATTCAGACGACTGTACATTTGCCTTGGAGCATTGAGGGACGGTTTCATTAGGGGCTGTAGAAGGTTGATTGGGTTAGATGGTTGCTTTTTGAAGACAGAGCATGGTGGGCAGTTATTATCTGCAGTTGGTGTGGATGCTAATAATGGTATGTACCCAGTGGCGTATGCAGTTGTTGAGGTTGAGAACGGGGATAACTGGAGATGGTTTTTGGGGTTGTTAAAGGACGATTTACATATAAACAGTAGTCAGCATTGGACATTTATTTCTGATAAGCAGAAGGGGTTGGTTAATGCAATTGAGTCTTTGTTCGAGAATTCGGAGCATAGAACATGTGTTAGGCATTTATACAATAATTTTAGTGCCTCACACAAGGGATTGGCTTTGAAGAATTGTCTGTGGGATGCAGCCAGAGCAACTACTGTATTGCAGTGGGTTCACCACATGCAGCGGATGTTAGACATAGACCAGGGTGCGTATGAATGGCTTGAATCAAAACCAGCATCTCATTGGAGTAAATCCCATTTCAGAGAGGGAAACAAATGTGACATGCTTCTCAACAATTTATGTGAATCATTTAATAGTACAATTGTCAATGCAAGAGAGAAGCCCATTTTGACCATGCTAGAGGAGATTCGGATTTATTTGATGAAGAGAATTGTTGTCCGTAGAGAGTCTTCTGACCGGTGGACAGCAGTAGTTGGCCCTAGAATTCAGAAAATTTTGGACAGGAACAGTAGGCTTGCAAGGGTGGAGTGGGCTGAATATGCAGGCAACGAAAGGTTTCAAGTCCGACACAATGTAGGCACTGTACTTAATGCTGTGGACTTAAGGGCAAGAACGTGCACATGTCGTGCTTGGCAATTGTCAGGACTTCCTTGTTGTCATGCGATTTCCTCTATTGTATCACGAGGCCTTAATGTAATGGAGTTTGTAGATGACATATACAAGAAGGAGGCATACCTCGCAACTTATACTCCATCTATTTCCCCCATCACAGGTCCGGACTCATGGCCTAACCTAGGTCTCAAGCCCCTCGATCCACCATTATACACAAAAAGAGCTGGAAGGCCAAGAAAAAGCAGAAGAAAAGAGCCGAATGAAGCTTCTTCAAGTCAGGCTAAGAGGTTTAGAAAGTCTTCACGCAATGTAAATACTTCGGAGACAACTACAACAGCCACGTCAAGTCCAAGGAAGAGAGCGGGGTTGATAATGACGTGCAGGAAATGTGGTGAACGAGGACACAATAGTAGGGGCTGCAGAAGGGCACCACCACCAGCACCAAATTAGTATTGCCAGATGAAATTTTTTTGCTTTTGGTTTAATGAATCACTGCACATGAATTGTATATGGTTTGGTTCATTCACTACCATAGTAATAGTTGTAGAATGCTGAATTGTATATGTTTTTGTTGATATTTTTGAACAGCTGGACAGAGATAGGCACCTTCTGATTATGTGACCTTTTCTCTTCTCCAAACTGGATATCCAGAAATGAGCACTCTTTAATTATTGTCTAGTACTCATTTTACTTAGTTTGGTTATTGAGCTTGGTTGTTGAGTGCTGATTTTACTACATTTTGTTATTGAACTTGGATGTTGAGTATTGGTTTTGCTTTGTTCGAACTGGGTGTTGCGGACGTTCAATTGCAGGGATAAGCAGAATTGTATTTGGCTGCAGTTTAGACAGGTTGTTTAGCTCAAAATACGTAGGGACGGTTTGCACAATTTTTAACAAAAGTAGGGATGTTTTGCACAAAAACATTGTAAAGGTAGGGATGTTTTTCGCAGGTACATTGTAAAGGTAGGGATGTTTTGCGCAGGTACATTGTAAAGGTAGGGATGTTTTTCGCGAAGATAATATAAAGGTAGGGATTGTTATCACCAATTTAATTTTATGCTAAAATGGGGGAGAAAACACGTTCATATTTCATCATCTTCTCCACTCCATCATATGTATTATCCATTTACAGAATCATACTTTGATTGGCCTTCTCGTAAGCATAAAATAAGGATGGACATATTCATTCTCTTCATATAGCATTCAAAAATGTTTTGAACAATTAGTATTACAGCAGCCATGAATATTTTCTACCAGAAATGCAATAATTCTCACGTCATTTTCCCTAATTTATTGAATGAAATAATATTGTATAAGTTTTTTTTCATGTTACTTTACTTTTTTCTTGAACGTTTGAAGAAGAAAGAGGCGGGAGAGATTACACAGTGAAGAAAATGTTGATGGACGATATTACCCCTGCATTTTAAAAAGAAAAGATCCATTTTATTTGATTTAACGGAACATTTTAACGGTGAATTGACAGAAGGACGTTCTGCGCAAAAAATAGTAAAGGTAGGGACTTTATCCACCAAAAAACTAAAGGTAGGGACGTTATCCACAAAAACCTCCAAAGGTAGGGACGTTTTGTGCTAATCACCCTTTTTTTTTCTTCCATTACAGGAACAGTAGAAGGACAGATATGTAACACTAATAGCATCAGATAACATTCAAGGAAAGCAATAAATGGCAATTCGTATTAAACAAGACTAAATGGTCGCTGAATAAGTCACTAGAAAGCAATAAATGGCCACTTTACCAAATAAGTCACAAGTAAACAATAGAACTGTTCAGTGTCCAACACGTGACAATGGATGCACTGTTGGGACAAATTTTGTTCTTGCCAGCATGCAGTGTTATATGGGCTTCCAGCCCATGAGGAAAGAAGGCCCAAATCTTGGAGATATATGTACAAGGCAAAAACCGTGGCTTTCATGGTGAGGAGACAAAAACAGGGGCTGCACATTGACATTGAAAACCGGGGTCGCTGGAAATAAATTAGAGAGAACAAAAGTAGGGCTGACCGTGTGGAAAAAGAAGAAAAAGGGGAAAGAAAAAAAGAATTTTTCTTCCAATCTTTAGGTGTGAATTTACACGTTTTTCTTATTCTCTATTTAAGTACAAATTGAAAATTTCTCTAAAGTGTATTTTGAATGCTCTTAGAGGTGTAGTATTCAAAGTAGTTATCTCACAAGTTTCATCAAATTGGTGTTTATTGAGAGATTAATTGTTGTCTTAGAAATTGATTATTGTGATATGTTCAATTTGTTAAGAATTCAAGTTTTAGACATAAACTTAAATGTCTAACTTCTATTAAAAAACTCAATGAGTTGTCACTGTTGATGAAACAATAAATGAATTCCAATTTACTGTACAAGAGAGAAGAAAATGACGTCATTTTTGTCTATATATTTTTCCTACTTTTCATTGTTGAAGTTCTTTTTTTCCTTCCTTCTTTCTTTCTCTTCTTTAGCTCACGTCCATCCTGGTTTTTGCTCTTTATTTTCGGCGACCATACTAGACAACCATACTCCTTATTTTCAGGTACAACAATTTATATTGATTGATTTACGCAGTTGAAGAGGTATATGAATTTAAAATTTTGCTGGTCGTAATGGTTAGTAGTGTTTTTTTTCCTTTTTTTTTTTATGGAATTGATTTATATTTTGTTTCAAGTTGTATTAAAAATGCATATTTTCCTTTCCACCTTCTTGTTTAGGCTGTATAATTAATTATTTTCCTAAAAAGTATTGCCTGATCTTAGTTGGGTAAATTGACATTAATTTGGTAAATTCATTTTTGTTGGAATACCGAACATTTAATTTTGCTAATTTTATTGTGAATTCTTTAAAAAAAAAAAAATACTTCACACTGTGCTCCATAACTCCGCACTTCGTGGGAGCAAAGTGCGGAGGTCCAGAGCAACTCCTTACTGTGCAAAGTTGCTCGGAGTTGCTCCGTACTTTGGTCTCTCACCATAGTACGGAGCAATTACGCATTGTGCGGAGAGATCAAATGATCTCTCCGATCTCTCCGCATGGTGCGGAGAGTTTCTCCAAACTCTCCAGAGAGTTTGGATAGCTCTCCAGAGAAACTCTTCAAAGAGTTTTGAGAAACTTTTTTTTTTTTTTGTTATTCTTCATTTTTTTCTAGTTGGTTTTTTATTTTTTCATATTACCATATTTTTTCACAAATGTCGAGTTATTTCCAAGCTCTTCAGAGCTATATTTTTTTTCCACATTTCTCTTTCTTTTTATTCTCTTTTGTTTTCTTAAATTTAAACTATTTTATTTTTTATTTTTTTAGTTTACCTTTAATATATAATATATATGTATACATTCATAAGAAACAAATAAAATAGCTTAACAAAAAAAGAAAAAAAAAACAATCTCTCCGTACTGTGCAGAGAAATCAATTGATCTCTCAAAACTGTGCGGAGAGATCAACTCTCTCCACACAGTGCAGAGAGTTTGGAAGTGTTTCTCCAAACTCTCTGGAGAAATTCTCCGCTCTTGATTTTTTTTCTTTTGTTTATTTTTCGTTTTATCTATTTGGTTTTTTTTTTTAGATTACCATAGTTTTTCACGAATATCGAGGTATCTTCAAACTCTTCGAATGCTCCGCACGCACTGAGCTACGATTTTTTCCCCCATTTCTCTTTCTTTTTTATTCTCTTTGATTTTCTTAAATTTAAACTATTTAATTTTTTTTTTTTAGTTTATCTTTGATATATAATATATATGTATACATTCCTACATAATAAACAAACAAGAAAATAGTTTAACAAGAAAAAAAATATCTCCGCACAGTACGGAGTTGTCCGTAACTCCGCACAAAGTGTGCGGAGTAACTCTCCACTTTGTGGGAGCAACTCCGCACTTTACTCCCACGAAGTGCGGAGCATTTTATTTTTTTCAGCATCCACAATAAAATTAGCAAAACTAAATGTTCGGTATTCCAACAAAAATGAATTCACAAAATTAACATCAAATATCACACTAAAGTAATACTTTTCTCAGTATTCCAACGAAAATGAATTTACCAAATTAACGTCAATTTGCCCAACTAAAATCAGATAATACTTTCTAGGAAAATAATTAGTTGTGCAGAAGCTGTGCTTTTGTTGGGATTTTGACTTTCTTTTGGCGAATCCATTTCATAGCATTTCTGGGATGAATTTAAAGCTTTTGTTAATTATTTTAAATTTTCGGTATGATATTTCTTGATATTTTGCTCGATTATGCTTTTAATTTGATTGCATATTATTAGCTCATATTCTTTGGCAAGTATTTCTCTATATATGTTTGAGGTTCAGATTTTTTGGAATTTGAGTTTTAGATTGAGCTTGGTTTCATTACATATTATGATCAAAATGTTGCTTCAAAAAGGTGAATTGAGCTAGATAAATATTTGATGAAATGCTTTAGAGAGAGGAGGAAGCTACTGATCATAATGTTTGGCTTTTAAATGTCTAACTTTTAATTGATCGAAATACAAGAAATGATTTTTCATTTTTTTCTCCCTTCTTAGCAATAAGATTTTTTTTTTTTTAAATTTCTTAGAATTGTAAATGGCAATTTGCATGTTAGTTTTAAGGATTCATATGAAGAGCTCTTTGAATTTGGTCGATTTTATCTTTTTAAACATACTAGCCTTTTGTGGTTCATGTTTATAGATTGATTCGTCCAGAAAAATGAAATAGACAAAGAGCAATGAATGAGCTCAATAATAAGAGAGAGAATGGAATTGGTTCATTATTGAGAGATGATGAAAAACGAATAGCTTATAAAAAGAGAATGAATTCACTCATTTATGTAGACTGCGACTTTCATGTCCCGTCTTCTTGTTTTACTTTATGACTCTATTTCCACTTTTCAGAATAAATGGACTAATTATACAGTGACACATATTATACATTTGAAATTTTTTATGTTGGTGCAAAATCACTTTGAAGCCATTCTAGAGCAAATTAAACCACTGCAATATCTCTATTAGGAATACAATTGTGCAAATTAATATGAATTAAATCTGCATTACATGGAATTTGGATTTATTTATAACAAATGTTGGTAATTGGTCAAAAGACAATATGTACAAATATGATATGTTGTAATACTATATGTTATAGTTAAGATATAACATATTATACGTATATACTATAATACAATGTACAACATAATATAATGAGAAATTATTGCTGTACAAAATTTTTTTTGTTATATTACAGCAATATACATGTTACAACATATAACTTACCGTAAATGCTATAATACAATCTGCGCGGTCAGGTAACGACTTTTTATTTTATTTTTTAAATTTAATCATACAACCTAATATTTGTTTAGTTTGTTATTTTATTATTTAAAAATATGCATTAAATCTAATAAAAAATATAATTACAAGAAAAAGTTTAACTTCAATACATAAAAAAAATCTCAAGAAATAATCATTGCTAACAACAAAAGAATATAAAAAAAAAAATGAAGAAGACAAAAACGAAAAAAGTAAAACTTGTGAAAGGAAGAAAATGAAAGCATGACGCCAAAAAATTTGGCATTATTGTCCGAATGGAAAATGCTTTATTGATACACAAAAGACTTTTGCAGTCACCAGATTAAAAATATGGATTTATTATATTGTGTTAAAAAATTATAAATAATCGTAATAAATCTTCTTATAACGCTAATAAAATTGCAATAATTTTTTATTTTTTTTACAATTAGTATAAAAAAATCATTTTTATTTTCAACAAAAAAACACATTTCAAAATTAGTAATTTCAAAATCACTTTTTTTTTTAATTCCCGAAAATACAATTATAAAAAAGAAAACAATATTGAATTACAAAAATCAATATTTGCCAAATACAGTATCTAAAGACAATATGTGCAAATACGGTATGCTGTATATACGGTAAGCTGCAAATATGGTATGCTGTATATACAGTAAACTACAAATACGGTATACGTAAATACGGTATGTTGCATTTACGGTATATAAAGTGCATATACGATATGAATGAATCCGATTTCGTCCACTACAATAAATTTCAATACCGTATATGTTGTATACAGTATTTACAGCTTACCATATATGTAGGCAATTTACCGTATTTGCAACTTATCGTATATGCTACCTACCGTATTCGCAGCTAACTGTATATACCGATTTTTGCACTTACAAATACCGAGAATGCAGTACACCATACATTCACTTACCAAACCGAATGTCAAAAAAAAAAATTTAGATTTTTATTTTTTCAACATAAGCATAAAATAAATATTAAAATATATGAAGGACAAAATATAAAACGCATATGAATATGCAAGTCGATTTTATAATTTTGTACTCAATCTTCAAATTTCCAATATTGAATTACACAAAATTTAGAAATATAATCATCACATTCAATTCAATCATATCAACACTATCAAAGAATACGGACAAATTAGTTTGTATAATCTCGTATATTTCTTATTCAAGCATGAAATATACAAGCATATTTTTTTCTAAATAATACAATATTGTTACAATTGTAAAAATAATTTGCAATCATTTTCTTATATCATGGAAATATTTCTAGTTATTACTTCAAAAACTTTCCAAAAAATTAAAATTTATACGCTAATAAAAATATGATAAATACAAAATTCGTGCAATGCACGTGACAATGACTAGTTGTAATCTCTATTTATTATAGCAAATTTGGCTGGAGTTGTCCCATGGTTTTTTTTTCCTCTACACTGAAGGGTGTTTTCCACATATAAATTTGATGTTGTATTCTCTTGTTTTTGCTTTAATTATTTACTTGCATATTTAATCACTCTAATTAGTTGCTCGGATTATTAAATTTATTCTTGTAAGAAGTGAAATTGCACAGCATGCAGTTTACGAGAAGCCGCAACGTGTAATTCTTTGCAACTGTTGTAGTTAATAGAACCCTTGCACAACATTTTTCAACAAATGGGAAGAAAAAAATGATCCCAACAAGACATTAAGATTTATAATGAAGAACTATCAAAATGATAGTTGGAACAGTTAAGTTCATCACAATCGTAGGAACATGTAACAGAAAAAAAAATTCCAGAAGTCTTACACATGAAATCGATAAAAAGAATGATGTTTCCACAAAATGATACAAGCAAATTAGTTTTACACAATTCAAGCATGCAGAACATATAAATTAATAGAGAACCTTATTTAGGGAAAACCAAAGTCCTGAACTACTACCTACCATCAGCACAAATCAACCGTTTCTTCTAGTCTGCTCTAGACTGACCAGCACGAGAAGAGAGGATGATGCCAACGATAAGGCCATAAAGAGCCAGCGCTTCAGCAAAAATAAGAATAAGAATCATCCCTACAAAGAGCTTTGGTTGTTGTGCATTGGCTCTGTAAAAAAGAATATGATTAGGTGAGAGGAACTAAAACGATATCTTCCTCCTGAATAAATGAAAGGGCAACTCGCAAATAATTCCATTCCTTTCCTATTTATTTGAAGTAGACAATGGAACCATTAATTGAAGGCCAGAAAGATAACAACATATTTGAATTGGAATAATCGTAAACTTAAATGATCCAGACAAGACTCATGATCAATTTTAACCAAGAAAAAGCAGAATTAAATTCATTTGGGTCCCAAAAGTTCATTTGAAGAGACATAACATTTCAAAATTATGTCTAACCAGACTGTCTTCTTGTTTGACAGGCTAGAAATCTCACATTATAACTTACATACTAAATGATATCAATTTAAGGTTGGTTTTTCCTCCTGGAATCCTGTTTGAAGTCCAGGGTTATATGAAAGTGAAATGTAGATTCAATAATATGCCTTAAGAGTGAAGGTTGTATTCTACTTCAAAGGGAGAACAAGTAGTAAACAGAAAAAGAAACATTTCATCCCCATGCCAAGGAGCTAGAGAATTGCTCGCTACTTGTTGGAGAGATGCGGATTAAGTAATACATTGGCCTCTGGTTAAAGAAAGACATCCCAAGTGATTTTCAAATGTAAGTAATAAGCAAAAATAGATCCGGCAGTTACCTAGCAGTTTTACTTACTGTACAGATGTAGAAACTTATAGATAAAACCAGCAAATTTATGTATCTCAAAGTCTAGGCTAAATGCCAATAATCAAACAAAAGTGTTCAAGGAAATTAACTGAACTTAGAAGTAATAAATTAATCATTCTTCAAACGCTCCAAAAAGTGTACTAAAAGATTCAATAGGACACATAATTATTCTAATACAAATACAAAATTTCAACAATGTAAGATTATATCCCTCAACATAAATACATTTCACATGAATAACAAGGTAATGAAAACCAATATCCACTATATTTCAAAGATATTCTAAATTAATTAACTAAAAAAGTATCCTTTAACATAACATGAAACTGGTCATCAATATCTTAATTGACATATTGGTTTTCACCAATTCGAAATTCAATTAATCAAATGTGTATATAATCTCATTAATCGCATGCCAGATTAACAAGAAAACTTGATGAAACGTACGCACAAAAATCAAACTCTAGGAGCACTTCAAATTCAAATCCTAAAGTTGAATAAGAAACTGATAAATCTCTCAACTATAATGCACAAATCAAATCTAGATTCTTCCTCTGGTCTATTCTTAGATTAGGACAAAACATAGATCTTTAACCACTGACCTTAGGTTGAAAAAATGCATACACGTATTGCATTAAGAAGAGTAGAGAATTTTACCTAACACCAGCATCCCCAACAATTCCAATGGCCATACCAGCAGAAAGGCCAGCGAGGCCACAAGCGAGACCGGAAGAAAGGTGAGCATAGCCATCAAACAAGTAGTATGACTTTGCCTTAGGGTTGATTCCAGTACTGATGATCACAGCAATAATCAATCCATAAATACCCAAAACTCCAGCCATGACCACCGGAACTATCGACTTCATCACCAGCTCCGGTCGCATCACGCCCATCGACGCCACACCAACGCCACTCTTTGCCGTGCCGTACGCCGCACCCATACCTACAAAACAATATAACAATTAGAAAAGTCCATATTGAAATTGCTATGTTGACCATAGATCTGTAGATCGGGATAAGTACAGGAGAAAACTAGAGCAGCCGCGGCACCAAGGAAGCCGAAGAACGGCGCCGTTTCATCGCCGCTGAAAGTTGATGACATTTTCCCTGGAGTGGATCTGCAGAGATCGGATCTAAAGAATTATTTTTTTGCTTACAGCTCCGGGGAGAGAGAGAGTTGAGTTATTTGTTCGATTCGAGCCCTCATAATACTCGTGAGTCGTGACTGTCGGAATATACGGGGGATTTGGGAACACTAGAGATGTTAATTGCATTCGCATTACAATTTTTTTCTCTTTTTCTCTTTTTTATCATTTTTTAGTTATACTTAATATTCTTAATCCTTTCTCATTATAATGCTCAAGTCCTTAACGATTTTTTCTGTCGTTCTTACTCTCAATCTTTTCATTAGTTATTACATTTTATATTTAATAATAATTTTATGTTCAAAAGTCCGTTAAAATGACATAAAATAATTTATTTTTCATCATATTTTTAAACAATAAATAAATAAAAGTATATAAAAATATTTTTCTGTCATTTTAAAATATGAAAATAAAATATTTTGATATAAATCATCGTCGATGACAAAACATACTAATTAATGAAAAATTGAAAATAAAAAATTGAAGAAAAAATTAAGAAAATAATTTATCTAATGAGCAAAGATTGAAGAACTTCACTACAATTAAAATGTAGTGTACTTGTGTTCTTCTAAATTTTAATATAAGTCAAAATCGATATTTAATTTTAATCATATATTTTATAAGATCCTAAAGATTTCAACCACACATTTCTTAAATTTTATGAAATTTACTAAAAATTTAATTTTAATTTTCATCAAACAGAGTTGTATCAAATAAAAATAGGTGAAATAGAAAAAAACTTGCTCTACATATTAAAATAGGTGTAACGTAGTCCTGGAGATGGAAATTGTCTAAAATTCTAGGGGAAAATTACAGCAAAGGTCCCAATCTTTGAGCTGAATCTCGCTTTTGTTCCTAACCCTTTAATTTTTTGGTTGCTTTGTCCCCAACTTTTAAAAATTAGTTCACACGAATGATTTCATCTATTTTTCCGTAAGTTAATCCATTTGACTGGCAATCAAAAATTAAAAAGGACAAAATTGTCGTTTCATTATGTTGGAGGGATAACTTATACTATAAGTTGAAGAAATTGAACTTTTCCATTTCAGGACACGTTACTATGTCGCTTTCCTCAAGATAACATATGTCTATCGTGGAGAATGAATGAATAAGGAATTCCAAATATATCTTGGGGATGTAATGAAATATGTGAAATGTTGATGGTTTCAATGCACTTAACTGCAACAACCGAAACACCATGAACTTTGATGAATTTATACAAGATGCTCTTATTCTATTTCTGAGGTAAAATAAAATACGAAATCCGACGGTCTAGCGTAAATGTTGATGGTTTCAATGCACTTAACTGCAACAACCGAAACACCATGAACTTTGATGAATTTATACAAGATGCTCTTATTCTATTTCTGAGGTAAAATAAAATACGAAATCCGACGGTCTAGCGTAGAGGTAGAACGCTCATGGGGGTCGACTGTCTCGCGTAGAGACAGAGTGCTTATGGAGGATGACGGTCTCACGTAAAGGTAGAACGCTCATGGGTTCGATAGTCTCGCGTAATGGTAGAGCACTCATGAGGGTCGTCATCGCAGGCAACTATCCATTCTATCCAATATCACTAGCCTCATATCCCTTGTCGATGTTTTTCGGAAAGGGGTAGCATCTTCGTCTTCTTGAAATTTTTTGAACATTTTTTTTTTCAGATAATTGATTCCATATAATGAATGGGTTTGGTTTTGGGGGGAAATCCCTCTCTCCCAACAAAAATTTTGAAATCCTTGGCCTATATAAAGAGGTGGAGTCCTTCCTCTCTTCCAATTCTCTACTTTCTCTCCCAACCAAGGTAACTCTCTTCCTTCCTTTTATCATTCGAAGCTTTTGTTTCGAATTTGGTTTTCTTTCCCATGTGACATCCGACTCGTCATTGGAGGAACCCGTCTATCAAAATGTCGATCGGGGCCGGTCGACTATCGTCGACCATCGACCAGAAGCACTAGTCAATCGTGATTGGCTGACGGTTGATCGGCCCGAGCGATGACTCCGTTTTCGAGTTAGATCTATCCCCTCATGATTTCGGTAGTCCAACTCATTTATATGAAACTCAAGCATTACAATCAATTTCTCCCAAAAAGCATATTCGCTCAACCAAGTCGTTGGATCAAAATGTAGAAATTGGACGGGACCCAACAGGGGAGGTGGTCGCCCTTGAGAACCCAAAATGTTATAGCCTTTAGTGCCTTAGTAGGTTTGATCAGGTTAATGATTATGTCTATAGAGCCCTTGGTCCCAAAGAAAGACTTATCGGGTCTGACCCCATGAGGTAATTGTGTATAAGGACATTATGGATGGTGATTTTCAGTTTCCTATCCATCCATTCTTTGTCTCGATTTTTAGTGAATTTCACCTCACTCCTAGTCAGATAAACCCCAACGCATGGAGGAAGACACTATACTTCTTGTATGTTTGCCTTAGCAAAAAAGGCTCTACTTTCCATAGAACTCTTTAGACACGTCTTTGAAATGCACGGATTAGTTTAATATAATTCATTTGTCTTTTCTACCACCAAGGTCCCATTGAGCTTTCCCAAGTTTAGGAATTCAAAAAGGGGGTGGAAGTCCCGGTTCTTCTTTGTTCGGCCCTCGATGGGTCAGTTTCCTTCCAATACCAATTAGCGGCACCTTCAAATTCGCCTTTTCAATCGTCAAGTAGAGATCACTCCTTTTTTAAGAGCTCAAATCCAACAAGTGACCGATATACCTCCTCTTGCACCTAACTTAGGATTGTTTTGACCATGAGGAGTATGTTGAGAGTGGGGATTGATCGGCCTACTGGTAGGGTCTTCTCGCTAATTTCCATTTATTCGCTTTCATATATTTTTATTTGCTACACATCGGGACTGACAAGCTTGATTGTGTGTTTGCAGATATAGACTTTGATTTGATGAAGTGTTGAAGACCCTGCCCCACTGGGTAGCGACGAGGGTCTCACTCCAATTGATGGTAAACTCTTAAACACTTTTTGTATTTTCAACCTTCTTTGTTGGTTGTTCTTGTGAGCTTGATATCCCTTTTCTGTGGCATGCATAAAGTTCGATCTAGAGGAGACTATGGACTCTATGCATGTGCCTGAGCATAAGAGCGATGCGGGCCTATCTCTCATCCCCTTGAAGAGAAAGAAAATAGCTGATCGTGGAGGGAGGTCACACGTAGAAAAGGAGATCCCCCAGCCTTCGGGCGAGCCAACTGAAGTTGCTCCCTTATTCGAGCCTAAAGAAGGTGCTTCCAGTCGTACAATGTGTGAGCGTGAAAGCTCGTTCCCTAACTTTGGATTTCTCCCCACCCGAGGCTATCATGAGATGGGAATACTTTGGTCTCTAGTGGCACTCGCTCAGGCTAGAGCGATGGCGGGACGCAGTGCTGATGATATTGAGAAAGCTTTGGCGGTCTATCTCCAGATGGTACACTTCTAATTCCACATCTTCTCTTATGTTGAACCTTATTTTTTCGAGCATGGCTGACACTTGTCTTCCACTTTGTCTTTTCACCCTTTAGGTGGTGGCCCTTTAGATCGGACTTGTTGAGTCGGGCCGCAACCAGGCCTCAGAATTGAAGGCTCTTGTAGAACATAGAAAAAAAAGGTTCATCATCACAAGAAGAAGATATCTTCCTTAATGAAGTCTTTGGAAGCGTTGGGAGTTCGGGCCCGCGAGCAGGAGTCAGAGATTGACAACCTGTGGTCTGTCTTGGCCTGTGTACCAGAAGAGGCGATAGAGAGATATAAGGCTTCTGCTGAGTATACTAGTGATCTAGAGGCGTCAAGTCATCAATTGATTATGTCTGGGCTTTGCACTCATATGTAGGGAAGGCAATGACGGCATCCATCAAATTGACCAAGGAGTGGATATCGATCGAGCATCCTTCGATTGACCCCTCAGGTTTTAATAAGTTTCTTGCACAACATAAGGGCAAGGAGAGTGGGGCACAGCCGTCCACGTTGTTCGTGAAATATTTCTTTCGATTTAAATTACCGCAAGTATACGGGTCGTGACAAGTAATAAAGTGGACTTTAGAAGTCCAAGTATCGTCCCACAGAGAAATAGTAGTTCAATTTTATTTATTTTAGCCTTAACCGAAACTAATTGATTCAAGATGAATTTTAGAATTAAAAGCCCTAATTTTGGGGGAAATCCCCAAATTGAAAAACCCTAATTTCAAATCAAACCCTAATTACTTAAATTCACTTAATGAATGACTCAATTACGAAATGTTATGAAAATAAATGAAATGTATTGTCAATTTATGAAAATCTATGTAAAACGAATGCACTAGGATCACGAATCCCCAAATAATTACTAATTAAACCCTAATTTCACAATTTTGATAATTCAATAAGAATTTGACAAATCAATGTTCCTAAATCTATTCAATACTCTCTCTTAAGATGTATTGAACCTATTCTCATAAATCACCAGCCTATATCTCTATGACGGATGCAATTATACAAGAACGCATGTAATCTTTTTGTGAGCAAATAAAGATTTACATAGGGCATTGGGGTATATTTCTATCCCCTATCGAACCCTATGATGAATTATATATGTCGAGTTTAATCCAATTTTCTCAAATTCAAAATTAAACCACCAAGTTCACACAAATTAAGTGCACATTAATTGTGGAAATAAATAAAGCAATATAATCCATTCAAATATCCTATCGAACTATGAATTCAAAATCATGAAATAACAAGTTTAATAATAATTACATGGTTCATCGATCACCTAGTTGCAGAAATCTAGCCTATCATGATAAAAATAACGAAATCTAACAAGTTTTAAATAAAATACATCACCGGGTTATCAAAACTTGAAGAAATCTTGTAATCTTCGCATCAATTCTTGTTCTTGCCTTCAAATCCTCTCTAAGATGAATGTTTTTGCCTCCCAATTCATTCGTGCGGCTTCTGGTTGTTTATTTTCTATTTAAACCCGTCCAAATTAGGTTACCAAAGGAGTTGCAATCATATAAGGAAACTGCAAAAATTGGGGAAAAATTATACCTATGCGACCGCATAGGTATATAAAAAATGGCATTTTTAATCCCTGGAGGGTCACTCGCGACCGCATAGGTTTTATACTATGCGACCGCATAGTAGAGCAAATTTCTAATTTGAGTCATTTTGATCCTCAAGT